CTAAGGAGGCCAAATATGCATGTAAATTTCGTGCGGCTGCCTTTGTGTTTGACGTCAGTGGATAGAAATATTGAAATTGGCATGGGAGTCCTCGTGTAATTTAAGTCGATAAGTCTACATTTTTAAAGTCTAAATCTACAATTTTATTTCACTATAAAATGGAAATATAACGAATCACTGTCTAGTTAGTATAGTATGCCAGGGACATCAGCGATAGCGGGAAACATGGGATAACTTATCCTATGTTTCCCACTATTGTTGATGCCCTGACATGCTACATTAACTAGACAGTGATTCCTTAAATAAATTCATATGTACTTTAATTGACTGAAATTAAGGATAGGTGAGTAACCATAATTCATGCATCTGGCTTACCGTAAATCAGTTAATGATATTTAATGATTCAATTTTATCAATTTCATACAATAAATTTAACATGTCGCTATAGAAAATTGAATAACCGGATGTTGATTTCCTAACCGATATTTCTTATCAAAGAATTTTCCAAACAAAGAGTAAACTTTTAAGGATGTGACTGAATGTACTCTAGTTTTTATTTTTCTAATATTATCAGTCTAAGTGTAAAAAATACTTTGATAAGTTTTACGTGTTTGAAAATTGTCGATCGTCAAAACACCAGGAAATGTAAGAATACATATTATTCCCGCTATTTCCGGCGATAATGGTAATTGTACTGATGAAGCCTTAAGATGCAATTGTGCAAACTGGTGCACTTTTTATTAACCATGCCACAGTTTCTTTGACTATTGATGTCAAAATCATAATCAGTGTCAGTCTCAGAATTCTCACCTACATTTCGTTGTCATGTCAGATTTTAATCTCTTCTTGTTTCAGAAGCAGAAAAAATCTGATGCCGAAGAACACTTTCTTTCCTTCTTTCTGTCGTCAACTGATATCGGTCATTTCTGCAAATTATAGCGAAAAATTAATGAATATAGCAATATCTCATTCAACTGTACCCCATTTTCCTTTCAACCCTATTTTCCAATAAAAAAAATCAAACAAATCAGAATTTCAGCAGGGTAGTCAATTTTAACAGTACACTGCGAAACCAAAGAATAATCTAATTTAAACAAAATAACAACTACCGACCTATATTCATATCACTCACACTGTGCTGAGTAGAGTTTTAAATTGAAAGAAACTTCTTAAATAACATAATCATAGGGTTCAGTAATTGAAGAATGCCAAATGATCTCCGTGTCGTTAAGTTTAGTAAATCGGGTTTGGTATTTTTGACTTGCTGTAAATTACACCATCGGCAAACATTCCCCTTCCTGGAACGAAGCCTAATAATAATGACATTATAATTTAAAACAATTCGGGTTATTCTTTTTGTAGCAAGATAAGTTTCTATACCACTTTGTATAGCAAACGAATGTAAAACACTAGGATTCTTTTTTTACTGAAACCAAGACGTTTCCTTCAAGTTGTTTAAATACACATTGCTTGCTCACCGTTTTATATAAATATCTAGAATGAACAGTGGTAGAAGTGAAAAATTTTTAATTCAAAGTTCCAATCAAAACTTTATGTTTCCGAAGATTTACTCTAAATGAAAACCGATCCTCATTATCTTTTTTGCATCTCTCTTTCGCTTCATGCGTGAAATATATTTTGATTCTTACTCAATTATCAGGTGTTCCTGTGTTCAAATTTATAAAGTTTCAGCTCATCGACGATCAATCTACCCTCATCTATATAAATTAAATATTTCTCCAGGAGATACTCTCTTTTTTTTCATATGCACTTAAGCTTAACAAATACTAGAAACATGCAAATGAAAACAATGAAATTACTAGTAACGTCTATGACAACCATTGACCGTACTATAAAAAAGTAATTTTGAAACCGACATTTGTCACTGGGCTCCAATTACCATTGAGGCCGTTTGCTGTTTTCTTGTATTACATAATTAAACTCAGCAAAGCCATATCGTGCTTACTTCACTTTATATATTTATACAAATCATCAGGCACAAAATGAATTAAAAAAACTATTTTGCAATTCCCAAAAGAAAATTCTACAAGGAGAATTGAAAACCGCACAAACATTTATAGTTAGGAAAAGCTATAAAAGTTAGAATTGGGAATAAGATTTCCCGATTGTGATTAATTTCAATGAGATAAGATATTCACCTGAATCCAAAAAATAATTCTTTGCAAAGTGAATATTCCTAATGAAACATATCATACAAGGAAAAAAAGATACGTTTGTGAAAAACTGATGCCCCCTTATGAAAGTTTATGGATTGAGGTTCAATATTTTCAAATGCAAATCAAACTCCAAGGTCAAGAAATTAAGTAATGTTTTACCCAAAGAAAAAAAAGTTCCAGTGAACATACCTATATAAAAGGAAAACCAAATTATTAATCATTCAAAAATTATGGTCAATTTTTTTTGTATTGTTTTATGGACTTTTGATCTTGAATACTGTTTGTTATCTCCATATATTTCATTTCAAAAGAAAGTGAAATTCCAATGTCATTGCTAAAGGATCAAAATAAATGGTTCACAGAGAAAGGCCTTGTTAAATGAAATTGTGTAATGTGGAAATCTTAGCATTTACTGTTCAAAAATTATGGGCAAGGTTAAAGTTTACAAATAAGAAAAAATCCAAAATCCAAAATCAAAGTTGGGGGATCCAAAAGGAAAGACGTGCCACAGGGGGAAAAGTGAAAAAGATTAAACTTAAGTCCTACATGTATGTATCATAATTTAAAAAAAAAATGATTAATTTATGAAGGACTGAGTACGTCAAACTGGTTTATAATAAATTGATTACTTATATCGTCAGCGATCCGAGAAGAGAGAATACAAGTTGATCATTGTATGGTTAAATATTTGGTGATAAAGAACAGTATTCAAGCTCAGAAATCAATTCAACAACAAAATTTGGAGCAGAGCAAATACAGACCTTCGAAACATCAGAGATGGGATAAGGTGTCATGGAGGAGTATAGCATCCTCTGTCAACCGGTAACATCTGCAGTGCGTTCATTGTCATGATCGGGAAATAACGGGAAAATCTATCGTCAATTCAGTATGTTTATAATGGCTTAACAATTAGCATGGAAAACGCCAGGCAGTTTTTGACTTAATGGTGAACTGTATTTACTGAAAAGGTCATTTTATAGAACGTAGAACTTACGAAATTATAACTTTAATCGAGACTGCTGATATTCTTGTTTCAGCAACTTGTTTCACCTCGTTGTAGAAATTGTTCGTATGTAGAACATGCTCTTGCGTATCGAATCAACCGAGAGATATAAACCCCGTATGCAGGAGAAGAAGTCAACTGCAATATGGGTTTGGAGAAAAACGTTATTGAGTTTCTCTATTTGTTCTTATTGAGAGACATCTATATAATGTTAAAATTCTTGTCATACAAATTCCGCTTCAAATTTAAAGATTCAACACAGCTAAGGCCATAACTGTATCATGGCGCATTTCATATTAGGCCACTATTTATAAACTGCATTGACGACGGATTTTTCATTTATTTGCCGATGATGACAAGGAACACACGTCGGCAGGAGATGATCACTTTCCATGGCATCTGATCCCAACTCTGATTTTTGGAGGACCGTGTTTTCTCTTCTTTGGATATATATTGTTTATTGGACTTTTGAACTTTAATACTGTCCATTATCTCCTTACATTTCATTTAAAGAAACAAAATATTTCATGATAGTAAAGTGTGCATGTTATTCATTGTATTGATGTTTGGATTAAGGCATTGCAATTTTTACCCACTGTTAGAAACAGAAAAAAAACTGAGCCAATATATATGAAAGTTGCAAAATAAATTAATCAAGATCTGTATCATTCTAAGTCTAAACAAGCAAAATATTTTCCCTGTAGGGTGCAATGATTAGCAAAATACCGTTCCTGCTGTTAGGAGAAGAAAAAAGTCGCCATTGTATTAAGAAGATATTACAAGATTCGTTTATTCCATTAGCAAACTCCGATGGAGTTCCGGTTTATGTGGGGGTTCAGACAAATTATTATTATCGACATTAAGTATTCAATCTATGTAAACTTCTTACCAGAACAGTAGGTGAATATTAGATCTGAGTTTTGTACTCTTAAAGGGCACCTTATAAAGTCAATGTTTTCTTCAGAGAACTATTCTATATATATTGGTTATTTCTTTGCCCCCGTAATCTTACCAATAAGGAGATATATAGCTTTTGCCCTGTCCATCTATTTCTCTGTTAATGTTTTTTGCGATTTTTTTAATTTAGCAATTAATATGCTGCCTAGGCTGAGATAACTAAACACATTTTATACTCTTCAGTTTCATATGACCTGTATATTTACATGTACATGTATATATCTATCGTGTTCGAGAAGCCGTGGTTCGTTTTTTGTTTGCCTCGACGCTTCGTCAAAACCTAAACATAGGTATCAACTGTTTCTTTGCCAATGAGAAGAATGCCACAGGTCGTTCGATTAAGACCAAGATCTCCTGTCATGTAAGACGGTGACAATAAGAAAAACTAATTTCTTAATGACACTGGTGCCAAGTTGAGATTTGAAGCCCTTTAGGTTTTGATGACGTTTCTGTACGAATGAAACATTCATATTGATGCAAAATAGCATACAAGCGATCAATTTATGTACCTGTATCTATATTCTTAAAAACATATATCTCTTCTTCATGTACACAAGCCCAAAAAATTAAATCAATAATAACAAAAACCTCACAAAACCAATGTTAGTTAATTTTGTATCATTAAAATTATTAATACTGTACGTCTGTAGTAGAAAAAAACCATCAAAACTAAAACAATACAGGTTTCTTGTTGAGTTGTTAGGGCAGAAATTGATAAAAAAAAACATTATGACTTTTACTTAAAAGGAAGTTGTATGTTTCTGTCTATTTAAAAAATAAAAATGATGCTAGTGTGGAGGGGAACAGATTAAAAGTAGATTTAATACGAGGGGGAAATACATTAATGTGGTGTTATGGTGTCAACGAACAAACAACGATAGTCAAGGCTTAATGTGGTTTCAAGCAAGTGTAGGGTAAAAACATCATATAATCCAGACATCGTTTGTTCATCAATCTCTACAAATCAGAAAAGAATTGATCCGCCATCCAGCTGTTTCCCCCACAAGAGAAAGGGATTATTTACATCAAGATCGTAAGGAAACAGGCGCTCTAAAACGGTCCAAATAATGTCACGGAGTTTGTAACGGTGCAAAAAAATGAAGCGAGTAGACAAAGTAATTGTGGAGATGCCGCGACGTTTTGTGCTTTCAGTTAGATTGTGAAAGGTTAACGACGAATGTAAAAGCTACTGGAAATTGTACTAAGTGTGGAATTATAAATAACAATTTATCAGCTACCTCTTCGGGAGAGTGAATTTAAAGGAATTATACAACATCAATAATAAATCTCGGTACGTTTAAATCTTTTTACTTAAGATATTGTTCCATTTGTATTTATATAGGACATTTGAGAGATGGATATTTTGAAATTGCTTAAAATGCCAGCATGATGGTGCCTATATATCAGTTGCATTGATAAAGTACTTTCATGAGTTTAGGACCTGCTACTGTGAAACCATTATTTAATCGGTCACCTGGCCTACCTCAAAGCGGAAACCTGTGTTGTTTTATTAATTAAATTAAGTGCAAAGCTGAGAGAGAAAAATATCAAAATTGGGAATTTAATAAAGAAGCTCAGATCTCATCAAGATACGAATTAGCTTAATAAATAAGGATGCATCTTTTAATTAAAGCATAATAATGCACGAGCTAGAAATGTTAACATCTCTCTCTCTCTCTCTCTCTCTCTCTCTTTAACATTATTGTCTGAATTAATAGAAAACAAGTATGATAAAAAATTGCAATTTTTCTGTAAATGTTGCACGATTTCGCGACTCTCTCTTTCTCTATCTCTTTCTCTCTTCAAATATGTCATATCAAACGTTGAATATTATTATAGTTACTCTGATTTCGATGCATTTGCGTCCGATAATGGTTTCAAAAATTCATGCATTGAATTATCTTTTTGTTATGTTGTACGGTAACAATATGATCAATTAATTGATGAAACAAGTGTCGAGACAACAGTCTTGTTCACAATATTTAGCAAATTTTAATTTGATTCAATGACTTTTCAGGAAACTCATTTATAATCATTTATCGAATGTTGACAAACGTTTTTCATACATACATTTAAGTACTAAATTTCACAGTGAATTGTCAACGGATGTGCCTGTTTGCTTTATCAAGACAAGGGACACACGACAGTATTGAAGAGTTGACAAGGAATCTCCACTCATTCAGGGCACCTGATCCCACCTTTCATTAGTTTAGAAATCCCTGTTTGCTCTGCCCCTATTATGCATTGATTTGATGGATGTTTGAGCTTAATTCTAATTTGTTATCTTCACATTCCTTCCATTGAATTATATACATTATTAATTAAAAAGATAAATATTTCAAAAATGCATGTGTCTGATTGCACAATTATATCCTATTTGAATTCTTTTTTATGAATGCATACACACGATTAAAGATATGTGATGCGAATATAATATAGTGAAATACTAGTACCTCATTATAATATTGTGCCTCGTAATAATGTTTAGCGGTATACCTTGTAAATTTCATAAACAGACGAAAACAAAATCTCTATGAAAAATTCACTCAGAGTTAATCATCAGTGATCTTATCCGTATCTTGTTATCTACGTCAATCTATTAAAAGAACGAATATCTGCACTTCCTTTTTAAAGTGCAAAAATGTCAAATGTGATAGAATGAGAAAAAATACAGACTTATTGCATATCTCAAAAGAAAATGAAATAAAAAAAACTGTAAGTCATATCTGTAATTAGACACTTGGAAAAACTCATCCAAAGGTCGCGCACGCATATTATGTCTATTCATACATGAAATGTATGTTTTTGATGTTTCAGAGACTGACCAACTTAAATACAGTCAACAAGATTTAAGAAATGTATTTCAGTAACGTATATAGATAATGAACAATATTTAGAATCAAAGGTCGATTGGTATAATACAAAATGGGAAAAGAGCTTAAAGTGACTTAGTTAATTAAAAAAAATCACAGAAGGGATAAGTATTTACAGAAAAGTAAACACCGCTATTATTGGTTATTCCCTTACGTGCTTATTGACATAATCGAGCAAGCGTAAAGTCGAACGTATTATATGGAGATAACAAAGAGTATTTGAGCTTAAAAGTCCAATAATCAAAACAAATTTCGGAGCAGAGCAAACGCAGTCCTCGAAAACATTGGAGGTGGGGTAAAGTACCATTAATGAGTGAGCATACCCGCCGTGTGTTCACTTACACGATCGGTAAATAACGGGCATGTCCGTCGATAATTAAATGTGAAAATAATGGTCTTGCAGTTTGTATGAAAAACGTAATTCAAAATGCGATTTATTGAACCATTATGTTTGTTGAGAAGGTTATAATATCAACTATAAATCTTGCGAAATGATAACTGTTGCTATTCTTGTTTTTTTAAAACTTATTTTATCAATAGTTTTCGTCGTTTTAAAACTATTCACATAGGTGTAGTTATAATTGTTTCGTAAATTATTTTCTCATAGATTCTGGTTGGATGTGAATATATTCACTAGGTAAACTGAATAAATATGATTGAAAATATTACAGAGCGGGTATTCAGATTACATTAATTTTTTTACTTTATTTCACATTTTGATATTTGTAACGTTTCATTTTAGAATGTGTTCAAATCGAAAAAGCTAACTCTACTGAAGCAACAGGAAAAAACAAAAGTGACAACAAACTGTAATGGACTACAAATTAAAGTCAACATCAAATAAACGTAGAAAACATCAGATCTATCTTGAAGCAACAATTTGAATCCGAAAACAGCAAAGTCTACACCAACTTGTAGCTGGAACGAGCGGACAGAATAAATTTTCACTGGAAATGAAAGACGCAACAAGATATGGTAACTAAAAGGGATATGAGGTAAAAAGAATGAAATGGTAGCTCAACATGACTGACTTCGCCAAATTAAGATTTTCACCCAAAGCGTCTTAGCCGGTTTGGAAGAACTACAGAATATGTTGTGCAGGCAATTTTAGTCAGGGAGCTGTCGTGGCTTATAAATCCAAGTTCTACTCACTAGTTAAACAAAAGGGCAATAATACAGCATGTGAGTTATAGCGGTTCGATTTTTTGAAAACTGAAATATATTTGGCACAATGCTTGAACTAAAGTTAACAATTCTATATATATGAAGCCTTGATGTTTAAAAACGGACTTCTTAGAAAAAACGTTTGACGGAAATCGTGTGAATAATTGTAAGGAGACAGGGAAACTTAGCATTAAGAGCACTTATACAAACCAGTATTGGATTTTATGTGAACTCAATATCTGAGGATTGAAATACAATTTTATCAGACTGAAATACGACGAGAATGGAGAAGAAAAATGTTTTATTTGAGAATGAATTCTTTAAACAAATTCATGCAATATCGGCCCAAGTTTGCTATGAGGATGTGATATCGAAACCAGCCCCCTCTGATGGTAAGTGTCCTCTTTGATATTTATCTTAGTGTATCATAGTATGAGTATAAATTGAGATGAATATTCTGTTGTATTAAACGACAGAGTATCGTGGTAATACACTTTGAACACGCATAGACATGATTTATAAAACATTGCTTGTATTTATAGTTGTATTTTTTAGCAGTGTATGATGTACTATTTTGAAACGCTACAAAAAGATTTGACTTTTAAAAAGTTGCTTTTCTTAACATTTTATGAAAACAATATCATAAATTGAGTAAATATTGATAGACATAAAAAGGTAATGAAAGATATTATGAGTTTGAAGTGATGAGCATTTAAAAGGTGCACTACAGGATTTCTGAAAAAAAAATTATACTTGAAACAAAAATGGGATCTCATAATCAATACTGCATTATAAACCTATCAAATAATACTTACCATAAGAAAATATTCAACAGTGATATACTGCCCAAAATTAGCCTCAAAAGGAATATTAGGTAACAGGTGTGCTAGAGATTGTTTTGCAAAATTTATGCTTGAAAGTAACAAGTTCTTAAAATCGTTTCTGTATTATCAACCGATCAACAAACACTAACCATAAGGAAATAAACAGAGGTATTGTGAAAGACCTTGAATTTAAAAATTAGGCGTAAAAAGGAATTTTAGTCTGTGAGACTAACATTACAGGTGAACTAGAGGTTTTTTGGCAAAATGTATGCATGAGAACTTTTATAATCGTTATTTTTGTTATTGTAGTATCAACTGATCTAAGAACTCTAACCATAAGAAAATATTTATAAGAAATATCGTGAAAGACCTCGAATTCCCAAACTGGGTATAAAAAAGAGAAAATTCGTTTGAGAGATAGAAATGAGAATTCTTTAAGCTGCCTGCAAGCTGCCTGCATTGTAGACAGAACTAAATAAGAAATCGACAATTATATCATCACTTCCCCAGAGTTAGTCGAAGATCAGTATGGATTGACTTCTGACCATCAGATGCAATTAATCAATGACATTTACTTACGTACCAGTGATAAACATATTACAGAAAAAAAAACCGAATGTTATTCAGGAATTTGGCACTAATGAACTTTATTTTATTCTGATTAGTTACACATGCATTGGTTAAACCCCATCATGGTCGTACTTTTGAGAGTAATTTGTCATGCCTTTAGTAATGAAATTTTATTCATTTGATGTCTTTGAACTTTCTGGCTGAAGAAAATCTATGATTTTGGCCTTGTGTGTAAACAAACAGATCAATATCGGAAGTTTACACGACATTCAATATATTTACCATGATAGATTTAATCTATTGTAAAATCACATATTTTCTTGTGACCTTATCCACGTTTGTTGAAAAAAAATCTTTGTTAATTTGTGAAGACGATTTCGTGGTGGAGAATTTTAAGTAATTATGAATATCAAATTTTCTTTTCGTGGTGGTCATATAAATTCTTGGGTCTCTCAATGTATCGAAAACAACGAAAATTTAAGCTCCTCGAAAGTTAGTGATTTCACGGTATTCTTTTGATTTTTAATGATTTAACAAAACATAATTGGCCCTACCTAGTATTTCGATTTATTAAAGAGAAAATGGATCCTTCATCCTAACTTCAATATAATTGCTAATATTTGGGGTTTCATTCATCGATAAAATTTTCTTTTTATTTATTTGGCATCGTCCTTTATGACATCGATCAAGTCGATAGTATTCATTTGTCATTTGTTTAGTTTTAACTCTAGCCATGTATTTTCTTTTCCTTACGTTGTAACACATCTGGAAGGGTTTTTTGAATAACTGATCCAATTAGAATGGTATTCTCCTTTTATAAAAAAAGATACTTATATACGAAAGAATGTTCTTTCTTGTTCACCGATAACGCTATTATTTAAGATTTTCTTAATCGTCCGAATCCAGCTTTAATGATTCAAAAAGAAGAGATTTGCAAACAAGTTGGCCAAAATTCCAATGTATATTCTTTTATACAAGATATTTTGTTCTTACACTGTGTTGCGGATTGAAAATTTATCTAGATTGCTTAATTTCTAAAAAAAAAAGTTCAGGTTTGTAATAAACATTGTATGTAAAATTGTAAAATACAATTTGTAGCTATGATATTTTTTTATGGTTTAATTAGTAAGATGAATCTTGAAGTCGTTAGACACTGTTAAAACCTTTGATTAGTTGAAATATTCTTAATGTAGCAGAATTATCATTTAAAAAATATATATAATCATTAATTATTCAAAAGAAAGCAAAAAAAAAAAAAAAACAACGTTTCAGCCAACACATCATTACAATGTAATTGATAAATTACTTAAAATAATCGCATTTCAAATTTAAGATTACGAAGCTTACATGTAGTGAATGAGATTGCTCTCTTGTCATACCGGGGAAGTCTTTTGGAAAGTAACGACTGCTTTGTATAAAAGCTGACGTCTCTTGAGCCATCTATCATAATTAAGTGTTTCTGTCAAAGTGCTGTAACTTTTCATCTGTTATAATTTCTAGCTAATCCTTTCTTTGATAGCAGCTGGCGTTTTCTTTATCTGAAAAATAAAATCAAAAGAAGCAAACGCCACAAGCAATTTTTTATGCCGATCTTTAAGAATAGGCAATAAAAGATTGAAACTTAAAGATATTTTAATTTTTTGACATAAAACTGCTAGCTTTTTAATACTTACTTTTTGTTTTAAAAAGGACATATTTTCTAGACAAAATTAAGGCCTTTTCAAATTAATACATATTGTGACAAAGTTTTGATACTGACAAACACTTCTTTACGTTATTATTAATTGAAAAAAATAAATGATGAGACGACCAAAGCCTTCTCATCGCAGCAATACACATTTTAATAATTAAACAACATTAGTAATATATAACCATTACTAGCTGCTAGTATATGGATATCAGCGGAAACGAATCAGGGGAAGAGTAGTTTGAATGATTGTATATTTTTTTACGTTCCGTTCGAGACGTTTTTGCTCATGTCACCTTGTACCGGCAAAGGACTTCAAACCGTCATTCAGTGAGGGATTTTAATTTGATGCCAACGCCTACCGTGAGTTTGGGTCTCGGATTTAAAGGTCTCTTCAAAAGGAGCCAATTGGGGAAAGTTAAACATGTAAAAACTAAAAAGATGTGTATATATAACTTGAATATAACCAAACACTTATAATCACCTAGGGTAGAATTATAAACTTTGTCAGGGAAATCATCTGGCGTAAGTCTCTGCACCCAGCTTACCTTAACGCTCAATCTATTGTCTTATTGTGAACTATATTTCCGTGTAATTGCTTACAACATTAAAGAATAAGGCTCATAACCTCCATTCGGCCAGATGGAGTCTTCATGCTGGGTTAAATTTTGATGTAATTACCCTTCTATCTATATACTACAGCCATTCACTTGCTGCACACTGTTTTTCAATTAAATCAAGAGATGCCTTGGTCTTGAATGTATTATCTTTCATAACTCGGTCAGGAGTTTGAAATAAACACAATTTTAAAAAAAATGATTTTTTTTTGTTTGCTGAGTAAATTTTTCTAATGTCTTATTATTTTTTTCCAAATCTCACCAACTGTATAGTAGAGATAGCAAACTAACGAAAAGATGATAATTATTTTTTGAATAAAAAACGTCACTTTTAGCAGTCTTAACATATTAAAGAGTTTTAGAACAAGATATATAAAATTCCAAGCTAGTTATGTGTAAACAAATTGATGTAGGTTAGATATGTAAGCAAAATTGCAGTTGTTCAGTAAAATCTGGATTTCTCGAATTTCACGTTTTGTGTACGACATTCCATCAGGCGAGATGATTAAATCTGGAAATCTTGTAATCTCTGTAATGTTTTATAAGATCCATTTGCCAATGAAATAGTTTCACGAATACTTGGCGTAAATGCATGTAATTGTTTTTAAATACTCTCTGTATTTATTGAAACGGTTAGGAAAAATTGATTCAAGAACATCTCACTTTCTCCCACTCTCTTTAAATGAAAAAAAGAAAGCTGCATATTTCATCGAAAAATTCTAAAAAGAAATTTCAATTATAAAAATGTAATGCATATAGCTTGCACATTTTTTATTTGATATCAATGAAACCTTTTTTTCTTTGTAAGAAAAGTAATCAGGCTAAAATTAATGTTATAAAGAATAAATAAAATACCCCTTTTATGACTGTGTAATATACACATCAGGCTTGAGAACCTAACTGGAAAATATAAGATCTTCTTCCATTATATAATATTAATGTCATTTCTTTAAAATTCAAACTTTAAGATCAACCGCTTACTCCACGAAATAATAATTTGAGTGCTTTTCAACTAAAAAACTAAAAATGGAAAAAAAATAATACAAAACCAAAACGCTAACTTATTTTGACTCTGCCACTTTTACTACAAAATATTTTTTTGTAAAAAAGAAGTGCTTATACTTATGTATCACTTTCTAATAATAATTTGTTTTTATCTTTTATAGGTAAATTATATTGTTCTCCAAAACATGACGATTTTCTGGGATGCTGGAACTATACAGAAGCTGGCACCAAGGCCTCATTGCCTTGTCCTGAAATCCCGGGATTTCATAAATCACGTAAGTTAATCCGCACTTGATCCACACTTAATCCGCAGACTCATTAGATTCCTCTATTTTAATTTTCGAAAAGATAAGGTATGTTAATAAAAATAGAAACATTGTCATAAATTCTTGACTTGAGTTAAAAAAAAAACAAAAACAACCCATATCTTTAGCCAAAAAATTTGCTGGTTAAAAACATGAACATGGATATTTTAAATTATTATCCAATATTTAAAAAAACTAGTAAAACAGTTAAAGCAGACACATTTATTATAAAATGACGCTTACTACGAAGTGATTTGCGTTCTTCCTGTCTTCAAAATATATTGTAGACTGAACGGAGGTAACAAGTAACGCTTAACATGAAGCAAAATTGTCCTTTTATAAGTCTGTTTCACTGTAGTTCTTTTGTCTATTTTAATAACCAAAGCTTTTTGATTTGCATTAAAAGATTTGTCAACAATACAATGTAAAGTGTTCGATTTGTCGCTACACTTGACTCTGACATTTGACAATGATAGGAAATATGATATCAGGTAATATTTGATATCAATCATCACTTACGTTTATTCTAAAAATGTATAAAGTTTCCTGTTTTATTTTTGCACCCCCTTTAAAGATGTTGTAGATGAAACAATAGAATATTATGAAGCGATACTATAAAGATTTTCTTATGCAAGTACATTTGCCCTCAATTGTCCTCTTTCATGATCAGTGCAATTATATTTAGAATATCAAATGTCGCTGTAAGTTGAAGCAAAGCAAATATTCTGCAAACAAGATACACTATTTTAAAGAAAACATTTGTTCATATATACAAATAATCCGTAGTCAAAGTCATGTTAAAGGACTGAATCTGCACAAATAGAAGAACTGTAGCAAGCAACATTTTACATTATACATGTTCAATCGTCTTTGATGTCTTTGTAATCCTACAAAGGTCATTAATATGATACGTAATTTTTTTTTTAATTTGAAAATGTTTATCTTTTTCTTTTACCATTCCGACTTATCACAGTTATCCGTTCATGGATAATATATATATATGAAATTTAATATAAAATCGCGTGTAAATTTGGAATTAATATCTGGATGATGACATGCTATATGAACCTTATGCGTGCGTAAGACAGATGATTTAATCTCTTATATTGGATAATTGGTCAATTCATTCACAGCGTTGTAAACAAGAAATAAAATGTGAATAGAAACATTCATTTGAGGAAGCTAACATGCCTTTCTAATCATCCATCCGAAAATCTTGATCTAATCGCAAAACTCTCTCCGCTCTCTTACACGCCACGTTCCGGAAAGAAGAAAACTTTTGTTTCTCATGAATATGGTCTATTAGCTGAAACAGTTTTTCTCTCATACTTTGTGTTATGAAATTATGAGAAATGCCCACTTTATAAAAACTATCAAATATAAACTGATAACTGTTTGCTATCTTCCTCTTTCATATATCTACAATGTGATTGGTAATCAAGAAAAATTATCTTCGGAAAGTATATATTTATTGAGTATTTATCAGATATGAAACGTATTATCACTCTTTTATCACTTTTGAAAACTGCCAAATAACAAAGGAAAGGAACAATAAAGATATATTACTTTAACAACACGCAATATTGTGATCAAATCGGTCAATCTGAAAGCAAAATGTTGAGTGCACAAGTATTGCACTTCAAATAAAATGTCTAAGGGACGATTTATTTTTTTTCTTTCAAAAATTCATTCTTGTACAATTTTTTCTCTAGAGATCAAGATGTTCGAATTGAATGAAATTTAGGATATTGGTTGGGGGATTTATAATAATAGAAAGCATTGTTCGAAGTTTGTTTAGTATGTGATTTAAAAAAAAAATCATATCAGTTTTATGTGTTTCAGCCAAACAATCATTAAAATATTATTTTCAAATGCTAAAAAATAAGATTAACAATTTCAGAAAAGGTCTATTTTGACTGCACTGAGAATGGAACATGGTACGTAAATCCTCATACAGGCAGAGAATATGCCGATTATTCCAGGTGTAGAAACTACCAAAATGCCGTCAAGGTACATTTATTACTATATCAAATTCCATTTAATATTAACATTTAAATTCCCTTTCTGTATTACGAATTCTGATAATAATGCATTATTTCAAACTCTAATCGGAGGTATACGTGTAAAATTTTTGTAAAATATCGATCTTATTCAAAATTTCTTCTATAATAACATTGTGTTCATCGAATGGTTTTTCAGAGTTAAATTTTACAAAACCAATTGCCCAATTTTATGAAGTTTACTTAAGAAATAAGGTATCATTTTTTTGAGTTTTATTAGGATGTAAAACGGGTTGGTCACGTGATCAAATCCCATAAAGCCCGAAGGGCTTTAAGGAAGATTTGATCATGTGCCAACCCGTTTTACACCCCAATAAAACTCAAAAAATGACACCTTATTACTTATATTTACATTTGTGACTTATTCATACTTTAAATTTGCCTGATTGTAACTTTTAACGTGTGAAATGCATTATTTTTCAAACCCAACGGCATTTATGTAATCCACTGAACGCGCGTCGACCCTTTATGACGTCACTGAGAAATTACGTCGAACGTTTATCCATACGAACATCTATGACCTCTTGACCCCGTACCTGTATTTATACAGTTATAAAAACGCTTGCTTTCAGTAGTGTTATATAAAGGAAAACATTTGCAAATGTAAATATATAAAAATGGCATTTTTAAATCCTTTACAGGAGCTGGAGGATGACGTCATTCATATTTACGTCACGATAGCTTTGTTTTGTCTCTCTTTTGTCCTAATCTCGGTCTCTCTTATCATATTTTTCAAATTCAGGTAAGTTTTGTCATATTTCCGTCTCTTTACAATGTCATAGGTATAAGCGTCGCAAGTAAAAATATTGGTCAATGTAAGTCTAAACAAGTTATATGTAAGGATTCTTGGACAAACATGTTGAAAAATAATCGAGAAAATCATTCTTTAATGCAATAGGTAACTACAAAATAAAGAAGATTTACTTCTCTGATTCTTATCGTTTATGATTTACTCTTTGCTTTCTTCTGTATAAAAATAGAAAATGTTCTTCTATACCAAGATGAACGTAGGCCTACAAACAGTCTGGATTGAGTGCAGTATAAAAATTTCCGCGTTTTTTTTGTTGTTGCCTTATTTGCATATTACTATTCTTTGTAGACAACTCAGGTGTGACAGAATCACCATACATAAGAACTTGTTTATTTCCTACCTGATAACAGATCTATTTTACCTGGTGTATCTTTCTGTTATCAATTTCTCGGAGGATGTCGTCCTGCACAATCCTGTAAGTCACATCACTACTGTTGTTCAGTGACACTTTTTTTCTGCAAATTGTTCATTAGATTGTTTGTATGTTGTTTTACCTCCCATTCGAGAATGTTTCACTCGTATATTCACGTAACCATTTACCGGTGAATGGCTTCATATTTTGACCTTTCCTCGGCACGCAGGGCCATTGAGCAGTGAGGCATCTTTATCGTGCCAATGTTTGACGGGGCTTCAGTTGTTTAGGTCTCATGCGAAGAATCCACAACGTTCACCTCAAAGTGTTGAATGCATGGCGTAGGAAGAGCAATGCTACCTTTAGTCGCGGGCGAGATTCGAGATTGTTTATACTGGAAGAGAAAAAAAAAAACATACTTAAGAACATTGATATGTGAATGTTTTAAATGTTAAATAAAACATAAAACCTTTTCTTTCTTTTAGGGTTGGTGTCAAGCCCTCCATGTTGTCACACAATATGCAATCGTCTGTAACTTTGCCTGGATGTTCTGTGAGGGACTATATCTTCATACCGTGATGATGAGCGCATTCACTTCCGGCAAATCTGTTATTATTGCGTGTCTAGTGATTGGATGGGGTAGGAATACAAAGATAATGACAAAATGTTACAAAAGATATAATTTTGTTAGTTGTTAAGGATTTAACTTTCTGGTAAATTTAAACCTGACAAAAACCATATGCATAGCATAAAAACATAATATAAAGTCACAGTTCGTATATTCCATGACCAACCTCTTTTTTATAAATGCTATGAAAAATTCACCTTTTCTTTGCTTTTATTTCTCAGGTGTCCCGGTTCCTTTAACAATTATTTATGCAGCTATCAGGACCTCCCTGAACGACAACACAATAGCGTATGTATCTGTAACTAAAATGAACATGGTAATACCTTATAACTAATGACAACACAATAGCGTACGTATTTCTAACTAAAATTAACATGGTAATACCATAAAACATAGTAAAACCTTAAAACGGTATGAATGCACATCTTAAAAAGATGAGAATCAAAGATTTGCAATTGTGCATACTTCTTAATATTGAAACAAAATTAACTAAAACGGGAAAATAATTTTGAAAATAAGCTATTGAGAGATAAGAACAAATGTAGTTAATTTAAATCTTCTCAAAAATTAATATAGAATCGTAAAATTAATTATTTAGATAAAAGACTATGGACACTTTTCCATAGAAATTCTTATTTATACTTGCTAGTAATTAATAAATTACTTTTGTTTTTTCTAGATGTTGGAGTGGTGAAAGTAGCTTTCTGTGGATCATATATGCCCCGGTTGTACTCTCCATGTCGGTAATAATTTTTTTTTCAAATACTATTTTTTCCGGATGAGTAGCGTGTTTAGTTGTTTAGTTACTTGTAGGTTTTGTTAGGTTTCTGATAGGAAAATCAAATCTACTTTTCATCTTATAAATTGAAAATGTTAATTAATATTTAGAAAAGGTTGAATTTTATCGAAGTTAAATAAGATATAACTTATATAAGAATGAATGTTTACTATTATAACACAATTTAAACATACATTTTTACTATTTTAATATCATGCTCGTTCAAATTGAACAATAAACATATATAAACATATAACATACAATTTACCCTTAATTCTCTAATTCTCTAATCGATGTATTTCAGATCAACGTGATTTTTGTTGTGAATATAATGCGTTTACTTATAACAAAGCTAAGGCAGATACCGGAAGCTGCTCAGACAAGGTATGTGCTGATGAAATTTTTGAATATATGTATATTATTCTTCACAATATTGAAATTTTTTCAAGGAACGAAGATTTATCTCCCTTTTTGAAAATACAGTGTATATTAAACATTATACGAAATTCAGATGCTAATAAAAAATAAAAAAATGATAGAATAAAAAAGGTAATGTTTCTTAGCATGGTTCATGCGTTCCTTATCTAAAAGCAAAAAAAAAAAAAAATGAATTATTTATTCTATTATTTTGATATTTTTTAAAGAGAAAGATTGTGATCATTTGAATAAAAATGAACCCATATCGTTCGACCGTTTTCAAAAATATTTTTTTCAAAAATCTGCTCTAATTCTTATGATTTCGTTGACGTAATTTTTGTCGAAGGGGAGAAAAAAGATGACGGATGACCGGTAAAACCAAATCATATACAAAGAATGTACATAATGAAAACAAGGCCCCCTTTAAACTTTGCGGAATTTCTAATCTAGAATAAAAGACCATCATTTAATAATTAACTCTGATAAATAAGAAGGGAAGTTCTACGTATATCTGTTACAATGGAGTCTCAACTAAATTTTGATTTGTCTCAACTATTTTTTTATGCAAATATCACTGTTTAAAGCTTTGTTTATAAATGACTCGTGCCTCACCTTACAAAAACCTATGCTGAAGCACACATTTGAATTGACAAAATTTTGCTTTTCAAAGTTGAGCAAAATAAAGTTAAATTGGTAAAAGTAAAATACTGCAATTCCAGATGCAGATGTTTTTATTAGAATTATTTTTCCATTTTACATCTCCTTACCTGCATTGTTGCAATGCTACTAAATTTGTGCAACTTTATCCGAATGCAGATAAATTTAATTTACATTTCCCAATTCCCCAATGCAGGATTACCAATACTATGCAGTATGAATGCAGGCTCTGTCAGGTATTGTGCATTATAATGTCTATCAATGTCACGTCAGTCAATGCAGGCATTGGCTGACTGCACAGTCAGTCAATGCAGGCATTGGCCGACCTTGCATCAGTCAGTCAATGCAGGCATTGGCCGACTGCACAGTCAGTCAATACAGGCATGGGCCGACTGCACATCAGTCAGTCAATGCAGGCATTGGCCAAGTGCACATCAGTAATTCAATGCAGGCATTGGCTGACCGTACATCAGTTGGTCAATGCAGGCATTGACCTTACATCAGTCAGTCAATGCAGGCATTGACCTTACATCAGTCAGTCAATGCAGGCATTGGCCGACTGCGCAATCAGTCAATGCAGGCATTGGCCGACTACACATCAGTCAATCAATGCAGGCATTGGCCGACTGCACAGTTAGTCAATGCAGGCATTGGCCGAGTGCACATCAGTCAGTCAATGCAGGCATTGGCCAACCTTACATTAGTCAGTCAATGCAGGCATTGGCTGACTGCACATCAGTCATTCAATGCAGGCATTGGCCGACTGCGTAGTCAGTCAATGCCTGCATTGGCCGACTGCACATCAGTCAGTCAATACAGGCATTGGCCGACTGCACATTAGTCAGTCAATGCAGGCATAGGCGACTGCACATTAGTCAGTCAATGCAGGCATTGGCCGATTGCACATCAGTCAGTCAATGCAGGCATTGGCCGACTGCACAGTCAGTCAATGCAGGCATTGGCTGACTCCATAATCAGTCAATACACCTCATTCTTCTTCACAGTAGATTTTAAATCCCCAGGCTTGGCTGACTTTGACAAACTGTTCTATAAAAAATGGCTGTTTGATTGTTAATAATTATCATGTCAAGAATATGTATACAATGATAAATAATATCATTTTAATTTGAAATTGATAAATATAAAATAATAGGAGGCCAGATAATTTTAAAATCATAAAGCGTCGTAATGGACATAAGAAAAGTTAACGTGCATGAGGTGAAAGTCTTTTTAGCTCACCTGAGCCGAAGGCTCAAGTGAGCTTTTCTGATCACATTTTGTCCGTCGTCCGTCCGTCCGTCCGTCTGTCCGTCTGTCCGTCTGTCTGTCTGTCCGTCTGTAAACTTTTCACATTTTCCACTTCTTCTCAAGAACCACTGGGCCAATTTTGACCAAACTTGGTACAAAGCATCCTTGGGTAAAGGGGAATTTAAATTGTTAAAATGAAGGGACATATCCCCTCGCAAGGGGAGATAATCAAGAAAAGACAAAAATAGGGTGGGGTCATTAAAAAATCTTCTTCTCAAGAACCACTGGGCCAGTAAAGCTGAAACTTATGTGGAAGCATCCTGGTATAGTGTAGATTCTATTGTTCAAATCATGACCCCCGGGGGAAGGGCGGGGCCACAATGGGGAATCAAAGTTTTATATAGAAATATATAGGAAAAATCTTTGAAAATCTTCTTCTCAAGAACCACTGGGCATGAAACTTATGTGGAAGCATCCTGGTATAGTGTAGATTCTAAATTGTTCAAATCATGACCCCCGGGGGAAGGGCGGGGCCACAATGGGGAATCAAAGTTTTACATAGAAATATATAGGAAAAATCTTTGAAAATCTTCTTCTCAAGAACCACTGGGCCAGAAAAGCTGAAACTTATGTGGAAGCATCCTGATATAGTGTAGATTTTAAATTGTTCAAATAATGACACCTTGGGGCCACAATGGGGTATCAAAGTTTTATATAGAAATATATAGGAAAAATCTTTGAAAATCTTCTTCTCAAGAACCACTGGGCCAGAAAAGCTTTATATGGAAGCATGGTATAGTGTAGATTCTAAATTGTTCAAATCAAAAGGGCTGGGGAATTTTTACATAGAAATATATAAAAAATCTTTGAAAATCTTCTTCTCAAGAACTGTTTATGATCCTGTTAATAATTGTTCAAATCATGACCCCCAGGGGAAGGGGGGGAGGGGGCACAATGGGGTATCAAAGTTTTATATAGAAATATATAGGAAAAATCTTTGAAAATCTTCTTCTCAAGAACCACTGGGCCAGAAAAGCTGAAACTTATGTGGAAGCATCCTGATATAGTGTAGATTTTAAATTGTTCAAATCATGACCCCCGGGGGAAGGGCAGGGCCACAATGGGGAATCAAAGTTTTATATAGAAATATATATTAGGAAAAATCTTTGAAAATCTTCTTCTCACCACTGGGCCAGAAAAGCTGAAACTAATTCTGATAAATAATATCATAAATATATAGGAAAAATCTTAATTTGAAATTGATAAATATAAAATAATCATGGAGGCCCATTATAGGGAATAAAGTTTTACATAGAAATATATAAAAAATCATAAAGCGCTCATATGTAATGGACATAAGAAAAGTCTAAATTATGATCAGTGGGGTAATGTGGGGATGCATGATAACAAAGGTGAAAGTTGGTCAAAGCTTCTTTTTTTTTTTTTTTTTTTTTACAAAAGTGTTATTCATTTTATAAATTCCAAAGAAGCCAGCATAAAAATGATTTTGGCTGTTAATTGACAACAAAGTACTAATTGTTCTAATTAATTGATTAAAATTTTCACTGCGGGGAATTTGGTGAATTTCCAACATGACTGAAACTGATGTAACAAAACAAATTCACTTGATATATGCACATGCATGTATAATGGTATAAATATTTTCCTAAAGTATATGAATAGTAGGAAATAAAGTGGCACATTTAGTCGTGCATATATGTTATTCATTTAATTTCATATATTATAAAGCGTTTTCTTGATCCTCTATCTTTTTCTTTTCCTTTGGTCTATATTGTAGTTTTTAACCCGTGTATACCTGAAAAAGAAATGCATGCAGTATTAAAGTAAACTTCTTTTTAAAATAATCGCGAATTACCGTTTATTTTTACATTTACTTTCCAAATTTTTTTTTCAAATATTTCATTTAATTAACTCTGTTTATGATTAGAATAGTTCACAAATAGTTTAAACTTATTTCTTCAAATGAAAAGACTTTGTAAGAATATGATGGCAATATATTCTGTAAGGCAGATTAACTATGCATTCCCAAGCCTTCACAAGACTAAATAATTTATTTTCCGGATAACCAGAGGCATATTACTTTTAAATTCCTGCCACTGGACATATTATCTTTATTCAATTTTTTTTTAGCACAACTACTTTTTTTAAAAAAAAATCTCCAGACCCCCCCCCCTCCTTCTTTTCAGAATTGAATGAATATTCTATCCCTGTCATTCAAACAAATACAAACAAACCAAAAAAAAAGAAAAAAAGAAACATAATCTTACCAGAGTTTTCTTTTTTTTCGATTTTTTCAGTATTCACTTTCATCTGTATATAGGACTGGTTTGTAATGCACTACATGTAATGGACGAGTTTACATGTACATCATTCCTTACAAGGAAAGGGTTTTAAAACTGAAATAAATAATTATTATCCTCAAATTTTTTTAATATTGTGAAGGAAAAATAGATTGAAATTACTCTGATTGTAGATATTTATTTTAATTCGTCATAAATTAAAATTTCTTGCGATGCACCATCTTTTGAACGCCTCTGTATTTAAAAGTGAAAGTAGCTATTATTAAGACCGAGTATTAATCATGAATAAAAAAAAATTCGGCCGTCTAAATGTAAGTTTTATGTTATTTGTAAGTAAACACTTTTATCTATAACTGGTTTATGAACAGACGTACAAACTACTTACCACAAAGAACGATATACAGTCTGTAGGCCTGACGTTACACTCAATCATCGGCCCCTCTGCTGTAGGATGGTCAGCTATTACCAGTATTTCGATGCCTGGATTGGTAAAACGTAACATGTGCACGTGTATAATCATTCAGCATAAACACACAACATTTGGTAACTGGAAATACGTCCTTTTTATCGTTGAATTTTAAAAAGATCATCTTAACCCCTTGGCTTATTAACGTTTCGCGGATTTTAGTTTCTGTAATATTGTGACGTCATATAAGTACGTAGTGCATCACCCAACAGTTAGGCCTGTTTGAAGACTGATCATTCACACAGCAAAATAATATGTTGGCGATTAAAAAAGTATGGAGTTTTTATTATGCAGTGGAAAAACACCAGTTGTGATCTTCTTGAAGCAAAGCTTCGTCCAGTGTATCTTTATCCTATAGTATGCGTTTTCAAGACGGGAAGTTCCAGCTGCAGATTTAAGACACATTGAAGGTTTGTACAAAGTAGCCTACCATGCTTTTATTTAAATTATGCAACTATATTGTGTTTATTTGGCAAATGTTTCAATTATTATTCAAAATAACTTGCCTTTTTTAATTTCCAACTTGCCCAAATAATATATTTAATATAATAATGTAAAAAAAAAAAAAAAAAAAAAGGAAAATGCTTTTAACTATTTTTAAGATTATTTCTGGGATTCGGGATTTTCCAGTTTTGATGTACAGCTTCTTTCTAAAGTAAATCGTACTTTTTCGACTTCTAGCGTAGAAAAAAAAGAAATATAGTCGTAGAAATGTTTGCAAATTATGGCGTGTGTTTAGAAATCTTTATGGTTGTACCCCTTAATTATTTGGTCTGATAAGTTTTTTTACTCCATGCCCCACTCTCACCAAAGAGTTTGGTTCGGCCGTTGTGATTTTTTTTCCATAAAAATAATGCATGCAGTGGCAAAAGTTACAAAGTTCATGTTTGTTTTGTCTAGGGATTTTTAAATACATGTCTTATTTTTTTCTTAACAGTGTTGAGTGACACTCAGATGGAATCTACAGCAACATTAGACTACAGTCTGTGATGATATCCGATTCTATGAGACCTGAGTCTGTTTGTTAAAATGGTGGCCAACGACCATATCATAAGGTTTTATATTCAATATTGTGCCTCACTACTTGTATTTGATTATTGAGTGATGATTACATGAATACATAAAATTAAAAATCTGCGAAAGAAGCATTTTTATTAATATTTAGAGCGTATAACATTAATTATTATGTTGGAACAAGACGATGTGTAATTATTTGGTGAAACAATGCCGAAAATTATATACAAATTTACACGAATTCAAACAATGTTGTGTAACTAACTCCGATTCTATTTTCAGGCGAAGTACTGAGAACTGCACAGACTAAATGGATTACTTTAGGAATCAAGAAGACAACATTTTGACAATGCATAAAAGATTCTACGCAAATAATTTTTATCAAACTGTCCTTGAAAATACATCGTTTTTATTTAATTTTACTTTTCTGCAAATTCTTCTCCATAATTAAAATAAACGTTAAAATTGATCATTCATCGGCATTACTTGATTTATAGAAGTCTGCTGTAAAAAACCAGTTTTGATAAATACAATATGTACATTTATAACTATATTTTTTACAAGGAAGATTTTATTTGCATTAGCCGTATGAATTAAAGCTATTCCAATGCCTGCAGTCCCTATACATGTTTATACAGTGGAATGTACAACGCCTGCATTGCATCAGTCTTTTGAGTCTATCATTGACTGCATTAGAACTTATGTGCATGCAGTCGGCCAATGCCTGCATTGACTGAGTGATGAGCAGTCGGCCAATGCCTGCATTGACTGACTGCGCAGTCGGCCAATGCCTGCATTGGCTGACTGATGTGAAGTAGGCCAATGCCTGCATTGACAGACTGATGTGCAGTCGGCCAATGCCTGCATTGGCTGACTGATGTGAAGTAGGCCAATGCCTGCATTGACAGACTGATGTGCAGTCGGCCAATGCCTGCATTGACTGACTGCGCAGTCGGCCAATGCCTGCATTGACAGACTGATGCGCAGTCGGCCAATGCCTGCATTGACTGACTGATGAGCAGTAGGCCAATGCCTGCATTGACAATGCCTGCATTGACTGACTGATGTGCAGTCGGCCAATGCCTGCATTGACTGACTGCGCAGTTGGCCAATGCCTGCATTGACTGACTGATGTAAAGTCGGCCAATGCCTGCATTGACTGACTGATGTGCATTGACTGACTGATGTGCAGGCATTGGCTAGCTCTCTAAAGAGCCAATGCAGACATTGACGGACTCTCTTGAGAGCGTGAGAGAGTCAGCCAATGCCTGCATTGGCCTTGAGAGCCTTGAAATGCCCGAGTGACCATAGATAGAAAGAGAGAGGGAAAAGGATAAAGAAAGAGCGATTCACATTGCCTGCATTGGCCCTTTTTATAGTTGTGCAGCCTGCATTCGCCCTTTTGATAGTTGTGCTACCTGCATTGGCCAACAATAAACACATTGCCGTAAGAAATTGCGATGAAATTCTGGCATTGACTGAAGAATAATAGCCACCACTGCATTGCAAGTTTATTCACTTTCCTAGGTTTAAAATACATTTTCTATTCCTTTAACGCCAAATTGCATTAGTCAATTACATTTAGAACAAATTCGATTGCATATGTGATTAAGATAAAACACAAATCAGAATATGCTAAAATTTGCATGAAATTGAATGGACATCATGTCATTGTTCCTGTTGTTACTTGTATCATATGAATTTGGAAATAAGTGAATAAAACCATACCATTTGTTTCGGACTAATTTTGTAATCATAAACAACTTCTTTTATAAATCTATTAAATTATATTTACTTTGGTAATAGAAGTCAAAATGTCTTTCCAAATTGCCCATATCATCGAACTTAAATTAAAAAAAAATAAATTAGACAGATAAAAATTAGTTGAGACCCCATTTTACGTAAGATTTTTATGTTCGAAAAAAGGAAACTGAACTTTAAAATTTCTTATACCATCGCAAAAACTTATACGTTATACAAATTTTCCAACGCAAATCGACGGATGCTTTTGCAATTCTTTAGGATTTTAATCAATGTTAAAATGTTAAAATCTTAATTAGACAGCATTTTATATCTCATTCCAAGTATGGAAATTTAATGACTTCATGAAAGGCAATATAAAGAAGAATCTGGGTATTTTGAAGGTTTCAATTGGAAAATCAATGAATACAAATATATGATGACAAGGGTTCGAAGAAAATAGACTTACGTCACTGTAAAAGATCTATAGTTTCATTATTATGGTTGTTCCAAATGCAACTTACAGTAGTCATTCATCGCCTTTCATAGCAAAATATTAAAATCCTAGATAAGGCGACGACCGCTTTTAATACAAAATTAATGATATTAAACGAAAATGATAAGGTTAATTAGGGATACAAACCTATAACTTACATGTTATATTCTTTGTATTGCTATAGAAATTAAAAATGTCAAGAATGAACGCAACTAACCTCGTGAAACTTAGATAAATTTTTCTTGCGCAGTTTATAGACGTTGTAAGTATAAACTAATGATAAGAAATATCTAAAATACAAAGTTAGACTCTATATTCAGAACCGTTTAGGATGCACTGAGTATTAAAATGCAAACCTCACTCAAGAAAAAATAAGTAAATATAGTCAATTAATGTTATAGAATTCAATTTGTTTCGGTTAAAAAATACTAGTTTATGTGTGAATTAAAAATATATTAAAACATATTACACATTAATTTAAAAACAGAAAAATGACATTTTCTTGGAAATCAGGAATTGTTAATGTATTGGCCTTTGATATTGTTTCTGAATCGGACAGGATAAAATGATGTAATCACGGAACAGAATGAAATACATTAAGATAAAAATTAGCTTCTGGGGACTTGCTTATTTATTTGTGCATACATTTTGCCTTCATAGGAAAGCAGTACGTGCTACGGCCATCTTGATTCCTTTGTTGGGATTACAATTTCTAGTTTTTATCAAGCGTCCAGAGGACAAAGAATCGACATTGTATGTTATATACCAGTATGGATTGGCTATATTCGTTCCATTGCAGGTAAATATATATTGAATTAATTGATATATAAAATTAAGCAATAGAAAGGAAACAAATCAAAGAATTCATGCAAACAAAAAGTGAGCCACATGCATGATTTTTGCATAACTTCGTAGTATTTTCTCTCCTTTAGTAGAAGTAAAACTTGTTTCGGAATAAAATACATTTAAGAACATCTCCCTCAACAGTCTTGAAATTTTTACACTACCATTTTAACTAAAGTTTATTTATACATGTAATTGAAGTGGGGAAGTGGAATTAATAAGAAAACAATGAAAGAGAATGTAAGAAGAAAGTCTCTAAATCCTCTTCCAATTAATTGTATGTCAAAGTATATTAGTGAATACTGTTTGTTATCTCCATATGTTTCATTTTAACATGGTTCAGAATAATTTGTTACTGAAAAATTAAGGTTTGATATGCAGGGCACAATAAACTCCACGATGCTGCGTAATATCGCCTCGAATCTACTTATAAATTATAAAATATTTTTTTTGAGGAAATTAACCAAACATTGTCTTTGAAATTGTACTTTTCTCCTTTCCAGGGTGCGTTCGTATCCATAATGTACTGTTTCTGCAACGGAGAGGTGCGTAAGTTAAAGAACTCGTATCAGCTCTCGACCATTAGTACATTTCGAATGAGCCGATTATTATCAAAGCGCGCAGGTGAATAAAGTGTTTATTCACACACACGTGATGTCTTTCTTAGTGAAGCTTCTATTTCACATTGATTCACTAACACGTCCTTGTCAAGCGTTTTTGTCACACTGACCCATTAACTCACGGACATGCTTATCATTGTTTTATCAATAAAGTTTTTATACTGTGACACTACGTCTTCCCGCACTAATTAAAGTTGTGTGTTTGTCCAATTATCTAATCACTTTTGATGTTATGCTACACGTTATTGGTATTATAATGAAGTTGGATATCTCACTAGCCTAAGATTTTTGTTTTTATATAAAAAAGTTAATCTTCTTATAAAAAGAATTGAAATGTAAACTATTCTACATGTAAATTACCGGAAGCATAATGACAATTTTAAATTTTTATCTAAACCAGATACATGTATATATATGAAATTGGAGTTTTTTTTGTCTTCTTACGTTTCTTGGTGTTAGTCTAAGCATGCATTTAATAATGTAAAAATTAAGATGAAGTTTTGATTTTTTTCATAAACTTTCAACTATGTCATTTTAGAAAGTTGTCAATAAAATGAGTTTTCTTTTCTAGGTTCATTCACTACTAAAACGAAAATGGAATCAACATAATATGACGATACCAGGCAGACAAAAGCGTTCACAGTCAAACATGTTGTCGAATACAACCTATACAATTGTTGATCACATGTCTCAATATCAGACTTCCGTGACGTAAAACAACAGATGACGTCATGATTAACTTCCAAATATATATTTGTTGACCAATGCCTCGAACTGGGAATCTTTAAACAAGTGAAATGTTTGAAAAAAAAAAAAAACTTTGAATGCATTGATTTTCAAGATGATATTTATGCCCACTTTGTAAATATGTTTTAAGGTTATTTTTTGCGTAAAATGTAAATTCAAATAAATAAAGAATTAAACGTTGATGTGTCCTTCCAAATCTATAATAATTAGTCCTTTACTATTTTTTACCATACTGTTATCCAGTTTTAGTGTCTGTTTATTTGTTTGTCTTTTGTTTAGCTTCCCCTATATAATATTTCACTCATATGGAGAAGCCTTCACTTGACGGAGGTAGAGTACTATTAATTGTTTAAATTTATTTAAAGTTTCAGAATTCCAGAAAATCTCTGTATGCTTCTTTTTGACTTACAAGAACTTGATACGTACTTTAATTTAGTGTAACAGACAAGAATGAAAACAAAATAAGAGATAGAAGAACTCGTTTCAAACAGATTAGGAAAGACCCTAAACGAATTATACCAGCTTATTTCCGTAAATGTAGGTTTGTTACCGGAAGAAAGAATTCTAAATTCATAACCCCAAGTAATAATTATGTAAACAGCTGTGTTTAATCAAAATATAACCATTTGTGTAGATAATATTCAAAACGGCAGCTATATTATATTTGATTAGTGATAAATCCATTTATTTTCTTTAGACAGGCCACAGTCAGATAGAGAGGGAGTATTAAAATATATATGTCTCCCTTAATTTCCGGTCATGATTTTTTAGTTTTAGTTGGTAGATAAAGGTCCGTATAGCTGCAAGAAAAATGCATTTAAATGAATGTTTATTTCATCAATGTTACACTTCTTATGTTATCATAAAATGCATGGTTGTTATTCATCCACGATTCAAAATAATATTATCTTTAATCATGCCTATAAAAAATAAACAACATATTCAACGTCTTTTGAAATTTTCCATTCTTATGATTTAACCAATATAAGGGCAAATTTTCCAATTTAGTATTGTCAGATGTACAATATCAATATAACAAAATACTAACTGTTTAAGTGGAACATTTTGTATTTTATTCAGATTGTTAAGAACAACACACTCTTTCAGAGCAAATCAAAAGCTTATTAAGGATGAACTTGTATATACTTATTGTCAATCGTCAAAAGCAATTAAGATATGAATGTTTTTGATACTGTAAGGTATTCGTATGAATGGTAAATTACTTGTTACCTAAGAAACAATAAAAGTGAAATTGGTCAGACCACATATTATTGCTTTTCTTTTTTATTAAATAATTTTGCTTGATTGTTTGTTTGTTTTTGTTTTGTTTTTTTTTTTTTTTGTTGTTGTTGTTTTGTTTTCTACTTCATTTTCCTTTCAAAGAATTTCACTGATATGGAGATGTCTTCAATTGCTGGAGGAGAACTGCAAATACTGACATTTAGCTCAGCATTCAAGACAAATGAGCAGTGACTGACCCCTTTTCGTACCAGCACCTACCGCAACACTTGACCTCGAATTAAATGGTCTCATCCGAAAGACAGGTCTCCGCGTCCAGCAATTGAATGCAATCAAGTTTCGTAAGAAATAAACTTAAAAAAAATTAAACTCGGACTGGAATTTTTGATCCAAAGGATTTCTTTCGCACTAACAACTTGACTCACAATCCTTGGGAAATATCGTCTCCTTGCAAACCACGTTCGCTTAGAAATAAAATGATAGGAATTAGCTATTTTCGTCGGCAAAATTAGCACTTTTCAAACATTGTTTCTGAAATGCAATAAAGTATGCAATAAAGTATGCAAATACAGCAACATTAAGAAGAAAAAAAACTTCAAAGGGTATTTAGCTAAAATGTTTCCTGTTATATGAGGCGAAAACGAACAGTATTCGAGCTCAAAAGGCCATTAAACATACAAAATAGGAGCGGAACAGCCACGGATCCCAAAACATCGGAGGTGGGATTAAGTGCCATGAAGGAGAGAGCATCCCCTGCCAACCGGTCACACACACCGTGTGCTCCTTGTTATGATCGGTAAATAATGAAAAAAACCGTTATCCTAAATATTTTATTACTCAATAACTAAACAGTCCTCAATAAAACTATTTTATAGTGTTTATTGACACTACAGATTCTGGGTCATTTATACATTCTGAATGTTTTACTGGCTACATTTGTTAACGGTTAATTACCAATGAAATAATAGGACTAAGAGAAGAGCTCAAAAGTACATTTGAACATTAAAAACTTGGATCGTATGAAACACAGACCTCTACAACGACAGTACTTGATACAGTTGAGGATACGCCTTTTCTGCTGTATGTCTTATGTAATGATCAGGCAAACGAAAATGGCTCAAGACAAGTCAGTGTGAAAATAATGGCCTAACAGGTGTATAAAAAAGGCCACGGTATATTACATTTGGTTAAATGGTCAATGTGTCGACCATATAATGTATTGAAATTTATGCAATACTATGATTATCGAAATATCGTAACAGATGGGCAGGATTCGATGTACTCTATCAACTGAACGAAAGGTACATCCTTTCAAATTTCTCTATTTCTAATTTTCAAATTATATCCAAAATTCAATTCGACTATACGGAAGTATGTAAGAAGACGAAAGTAATTGCTAAAGAACAAAATTAAACCAGAGTTTTATACCCTGATAAGATAACGGAAGACGTAGTTTCTGTGATGAAAAGATTTATATATTTCTTTAATACAAACAACCAACATGCACTTCCGCCTTTCATTACTAAGAACGAACATTTTATCGACATTAACTACCCTGTTTACAAGTTCCCGTTAAGCAGCAGTATAGAAATTTCTCTTTTTTTCCTCCTGGAGGAATGAAGAGTAATTTACTCATATGTTTTCTTAATACAAAATCGGTTGACTATTGATTATAGAAAGTACAGAAAGAAATGTGGTTCAACAACATCTATAAATCCCAAGCAAGAATGCATACAAGACATGCATTCCCTTGTTAATCATGCAGACAAAGTGAAAGTGCAGACGGATCAAATGAAATCGGCATCCAAATCAGATAAAATATCACGTAATTTTGAAATCATCCTGCAAAATTATCAATAAGAAGCATAACAGCATAGCAGCATGTGGATTTTTACGAGCTGCCAAACTGTCTTGATCTTTGTCAAGTTTTAACAGACATGTGTAATGTTAGATTACCAAATTTTTCAAAAAAGCTTTTTTTTTTTTACACATTGTTGTCGGTGTATGCTTGTAAAATATTGAGATAACGAATTGTGACCAACCTCAATTATAAACAGAGAAAAACGGTGCCCTGGAAACTCATATTAATTCTAAAGTTCATTTCCAGGAGGAGAAAGAATTCCATGTACTGGCTACGCTCGCTTTGAGCCCTATATAATGATGAACAATGAGGAATATTTCAAAGACATTTTTTTTTCAAAAAAAGGAGACGGCTTAGATAGGCTTTGCCTGCTTCCCAATCTCATTCACTTTTATTTATGTAATCCTAGTGATCTGGCTAGGTTACCGCAATAGTTGAAATATAACAAAACAATGTATATTGGGTGAGAATTGTCATTTATTAAATGACAATAAGTATATAACACAAATAAAGTTAAGGGGAGATTCAAATTCTAGATCAGTGAAAATACGCTATCTTTTATCACGTGATTTTTTGCTTAAATCAATGGTCTAACAAATGGTATCAAATATATCAAACAATTTTCGACCAAGGGATAGGTTGTGTTTACCAACAAGTTGTTTATAACGGCTACAGAATGTCCGCAAAGATATTTATCATGATGATGTATCCTAGCTTATAGATTACGCTGACATTGTTTACAAAGAATTTTGTCATTGAGTCGGACTAAAACATGAACTTTTGTTATCTTGACACATGTTGCCGGATTAACATGTGATCAGCTTTTGACATTTCAAATCAAAATCAATTTTTCCTTCCGCCTTCAAGGTGAAAGAAGTGTCACATAATTAAGTGTTACAAACGTATTTTTCAGCAATACCGACTGTGATATCTATATTAAAGTGTTTTTTTTCTTCCTAAAAAGGCATTTCTATTTTGCTTTGCTTAGATGAGTAGTGAGTTAATTTTTTTATTTTTAGAAAAAATACATTGACAATATCTGAAAAAAATGTGGCCGAAAAAATATCATCCGGATATTTGACTTTAAAAGCGAAATATATATATTGACTATTCCACCAATAAATAAATGATATCCTTTTCTAAAATAAAAAAAAAAAAAAAAAAAAGATTCAGTCCCAATTTCATAATTTTTTTCTTTTCAATGGCAAATGAAATATGTTTTATGTCGATTCAAAATAGACCATAACGCATTTTGTCATGAAATAGGACATTTTGCGTTTCTTTTTTTTCAAACATATGGTTAAAGAGTTCTTGCTAAATGAGTTGTCATGAGCAATTTGATGAATATCTTTGTGTGCTCAACTCTGTTCTAATACACCTCTATGATTACTTTGTTGCAAAATTAGAAACTTCATACTTTATCTCGTCGATCTGTTTCAAGATGGCTCGTTTTTCATTTGTACGTCCTAATTTTAAAATGACCATGTTTTTACTTCGCATTATCGTTGGAGTTCGATAGGTTGAGCTTCGATAGCTCCATCATGACGGGACCAATGCAAGAAAACATTACTGCTTAACTATTCAGAGTTTTATTAATACCAATTGTAAGGACTTTTTACATGTACATACACCAAATTTATCTACGGAATGTTCCGTCTTCTTCACAATATAATTATAGAGTTTGTAGCGGATTCGTCCGAACAACAGGGGATGCTCACTCCACCTAGATCACTGATCTAACCTTAATTTTCCATTGGTCGATGATTATTCCCTGTTAATATACTTGTATTATTTGATGTTTTATGCGAACGATCAATTTCTATTATCCTCATCCTTTTTCATTAGGTCCTTCAAAATTACCTTGACGGAATTCTGGCTTTCCTGATATTTGGTTCATCTGCAACTATTTGTTAGTGTAATTTACAATTTTGAATTGTCATGTGATCTGAAAAAAAAACACAACGATTCCTTAATCGGCATTTTCTTTTTAAAAAAAAAGAAATTATTTTAACAAAAAAATCAATTAAATTAAAACAAATATAAGTTCAACAAGTGCACATATTCATCTGATTGAACATAT